CAACCATGAATTTTTCCTTTGTGTATGAATTTGTCTATTCTGGATATTTTACATAAATAAAAGCATACCATATGTGATCTTTTGTGAATGATTTCTTTCACTTAACATTTTTGAGGTTCTTTCACATCATCGTGTATAACCAAATTTCCTTTTTTTATGTTGCTGAATAATATTCTACTATGTGGCTGTACTACATTTTGTTCATCCATTTCATCAGTTAATTCACATTTGGATTGTTTCTATTTGGGGGTTATTAAGAGCAATGCTGCTATCAACATTCATGTACAAGTTTTTGTGTGGACATATTTTCATTTCTCTTAGGTATATATCTAGGAAATAATCAATGGGCCATATGATAAATCTCTAATTTTTTGAAGTACTTCCAATTTCCCAAGATGGTTGTATTATTTTACATTCTCACAAATAATATGAGAAATTTTAATTTCTGCATATCTTGGCTAACACTTGTTGTTTGTCTTTATGATTTTTAGCCATTCTGGTGAGTCTGTGGTTTGGTTTGTATTTTCCTAATGAATAATTACATTGAGCAGCTTTTTATGTGTTTATTGGTGATTTGAACATGTTTGGAGAAATGTCTATTCAAATTATTTGCCAATTTTTAAATTGGGTTATTTGTCTTTTCATTGTTGACTTGTAAAAATCCTTTACATATTCTAAATATTTTGGATACAAGTTCCTTGTCAGACACATAATTTGCAAAGGTTTTTTTTTTTCCCCATCTTGTGGGCAGTCTGATCATTTTTTTGATAGTATCATTTGAAGCACACAAGCTGTTCATTTCTTCTTTCTTTCTTTCTTTCTTTCTTTCTTTCTCTTCAGTACTGGGGTTTGAATCCAGGGGTACATTGCCCCACCCCTTTTTTACTTTTTAATTTTAAGACAGGGTCTTACTAAGTTGGCCAGGTTGGTCTCAGACTTGCAATCTTTCTGCCTTGGCCTCCTGAGTAGCTGTAATTACAGAAGTGTGCTCCACCATTGCAAGTTGTTAAGTTTTGTAAAATCTAATTTATCTCTTTTTTCTTTTGTCTCTTGTGCATTTAGTGTTGTATGTAATGTAAACCATCGCCTAACCTAAGTTTGCAAAGATCTACTTCTATATTTTCTTCTAGGAGTTTTAGACGTTTAGCTCTTATGTTTAGGTGTATGATCTATTTTAAGTTAATTTTTGTATGTATCCAAATTGTTCTTTTGCAAACTGCCCAAGCACCATTTGCTGAAAAGACTATTCTTTCTCTGTTGAATTGTCTTAATACCTTTACCAAAATCAGTTGGCCATAATGTAAGAGGTTATTTCTGGACACTCAATTCTATTCAGTTGGTCCACAGACCTTGCTTTACGCCAGTGCCATATTGTTTTATTTTTTCCACATTTTTTTATTGGTGCATTATAGTTGTACATAAAGATGGGATTTCTTGTTACATATTTGTATGTGCACACAATATAACAATATAAATTGGCCAGTATCACTCCCTAGCACTTTTCCCTTCCCTCCCACATCTTGGTCCTTTTTCTCTACTGATCTCCCTTTGATTTTTAGGAAATCCACTGCCACCTTTGTTTTCCTTTTTCCTCTTTAGCTTCCTTATACAAGAAAAAAACACAACTCTTCTAACCTTCTGAATTTGACTCATTCAACAGGATGGTCTCTAGTTCCATCCATTTTCCTCAAAATGCTATGATTTCATTTTTTTGATAGCGGAATAAAACTCTATTATGAATATATACCCATTTTCTTCATCTCTTCATCCATTGATGGACCCTTAGGCTGGTTCCATAGTTTGGCTATTTTGAATTGTGCTGCTATAAACATGGTCCCATACTGTTTTAATTACTGTAGCTTTAATGGGATATATTTTGAAATTGGGAAGTGTTAGTTATCCAATTTTGATCTTGTCATTTAGGATTGCTTTGGCTCTTCTTGATCCTTAGCATATAACTTTTATAATTGATTTGTCAGTTTTTGTGAAAAAGGCAATTGGGATCTTGATTAAGTTCTGGTATCCATTTCTATAGATTGTATCTATAGATTAATCTGGGGGTATGCCATCTAAAAAATATGAACTGTTCTGATCCTTGAACATTTTTTTAAAGTTTTTTTTAAAAACAGAATTCTGTAGTTTTTAGTGTAAAAGTCTTGAATTTCTTTTATTAAACTTTTGTTGTAAGCCCCAAATGTGAATGAAGTTTAGCAATGTCCAGGGACTATGTCCTGGTAACCCTGCATCCTTCCTACTAATATCAATATCTCACTTAGTATCTTGAATTGTGGTTGGCAATCTCCGTGCCTGTTAAAGGGTCTGTTAAATATCTTGCAGAAAGGTCACAGTATCATTTCCTTTTTTTTTTTTTTAATAAGGAGAAGGGATTGAATCCATGGGCGCTTTACCACTGAGCTACATCCCCAATCCTTTACATTTTTAATTTTGAAATAGGGCCTTCCTAAATTGACAGTCTGGCCTTGAACTTGCAATCCTCCTGTCTTGGCCTCCTGAGTCACTAGGATTACAGGTGGGCCGACTGCCCTCATCTTTATTTCCTTTAAACTATACCATATGATTAAGAAACAAAAATAAACACTAATCCCATTTAATAAGAAAGTTTACCGATGGGTAATATTTTAAGGCCAAGAAGGTTAATTTACATGGCCAACAGCATTCAATGTCAAATAAAAAAAATACACTACAATTCAACATTTCCCCTAGGAATGTATTAATTCTAAAAGCTTTTAAACCAAGAAGGACATGGAGAAGATTAAGAGGAAAAACAGGGGTAGCAATAAGTGATTTTTATTGAATTATATTAAAAATGTATATTGTCATCCAGATCCTTTAGGGCTAAAAAAAGTTTAACTTAGAAGAGTATTTCTTTCTTGAACTTCTAAATTAGAAAAGTGTTGGGAATGGAGACTTAGAATTTTCCATAGTTCACTGATATTGATGTGAGGATACAAGAGTCTTCACTTAAAGAAAGTTAAGGTCTGACTTGCAGAGATAAAGTTAAAGAGGTAGCATACTTTGTAGACTCTCTTTTCAATTTGCATTTGAAAAGTATGGACTTCTTTATGAGTTTATACCTACTAGAATATATTGTCTCTGCTCAGGCTTTAGAACTGAGAGTCCAGTTAAGCATCTGGTTAAGCATCTGGTTGATCATTTGATAGAAAATCTAAGGAGTGGATGAAAAAGGTGTAATTACCATGACTGACAGGAAAGCAGGGTATCAGTGTCTATCGTTGACCGAGAACACTTACTAACCAGAAAGACATTGTCAAGGTGGGGTGACCGGGTGGACCAAGAAGAGAGTGCCACACTGGGTAGATGTTTCTGATTACACATACAACTCTTGTTAATAAGGGGAAAGTAAGTCTACTGAGAATTTCTTGATGAAGAAAACAGAAGGAGCAGTAAGAGAGATTCTTGGCATCGAGGAAATTAGCCATTGTGGCCTAGAGAGAACCATTGTGACTAATGCCTTTCAGGTCTGAACTGGGTGAATGATGATAGTTACCTAGATTTAAGAAGGAGAAAAATTTTCAAATATAAATGATTAAAAATATATAACCTTATGCCCCCAAAAGTCAAAAACCTGTGACTTTTTTTATTTTTATTTTTTGGTGTATTGGACCTGAGCCCAGGAGTGCTCTGTTGCTGAGACACATTGAGATGTGTTCCCAATCCTTTTTTAATTTTTATTTTGAGACACGAATCTCACTAAGTTGCCTAGGTTAGCCTCAAACTTGCCACCATCCTGCCTCAGCTTGCCAAGTGTCTAGGTTTACAGATAACAAAAGCAGGTAGAGGGACAGAGGATTTCTGAAATAGGAGAGAGGATTTCTGAAATAAAAGAACATGCAGAAGAAAATGTAAGTTGAAGTGCTCTTTATCATATATTTATTGTCTTATCAATTGAGAGTGGACTTAATTAAGTAATCAGGGCCATGAAATAGTCCCTTGGAACATGTGGATGTAACTAACATTTGTGGGTCTCCTATATTCAAAGCATTCTAGAGGTCCATAAAATTTTTAAGTTTGCAGAAGTACAAGCTTGAATTCTGAATTTGAGGTTGGAATGGTCAAGTTGCTTAGTTAGGAAGTCATCAAGCTAATGAATGATAATCATATATAAGTTTTACATTTGCTTTTAATTTGACAGCAGTGCTGGGGAAGTTAGGAGGTAACATGGGCAATTAAAGTAAAACATTTGACTTACTTAGGTTTTATTTCACATTGTCCTCGTCTCCCACTAACATTGATAATTGAATTTACTTGGATGAGAGAGAGAGCAGTTCCAATTTCTATTTAGAAGTTTCTTGTAGAAGTGGCAAACAGTGGGAAGAATGGCTTTATTATGAAGCTGCATTTGCCAAGCAGGTATCCAAATTTAATTCGGGAGAAAATTAAATAAAAATGAGAAGGGATTATGTTTTCAATTTAGTTTCAAGTAGGCTCATAACTTCTTTGCTAAGGAAAGTTAAGATAAGATTTTGAGTCACAGGCTGTCTAGATATTCCTCAAACTACTGAATAAATAGATGAACAATTCTAGGTTATAGCTTTCAATTTTGGGGGGCAAGAACTATTTTCTGCAGTGGCTACTTAAATACAGCATATTTTGTGGAGGGCCTACTTAGAATTCTCTGTGAGAGATCTTTAGAGAGACAGAATGAAAACCCAAACTTAAGTCCTTCTGAGGACAAAGGATTTTTCAAATCCCAGGAGAATAGAGTAAGAGTGAGCCCCAGTGGGTTTAGCAATAGAGTACCTGATTTTGAAGCCCAATTAGCCAAATCCTGAATTTGGACCCATGATAGGGCCTGATAGTGGTTCTGAACCTGTGAGGAATCTTGGAGCACAATTTTTGTTCTTTGATATTTATAAGAAGGGCAAATACTTTCACTCAGCAGTTTATCAGCATTTGTGTCCTCCCTCTAGAGGCATTTGGCTCTCTGAGGTTGTCTCTAAGTTTAGAAGCTGCAGAGGCAAGAGAATACTATCCTTTTCCTCTCTGTCAGCTTCAACTCCCTGTAGGCATTTGAGGGACAAACAAATGAAGAAATGGTGAGCCCTCCTTCTGATTTTGAAATCAATAATAACAAAGGAAGGAGCGATTAAGAGGTAGGTCAATACCTGAACTGAAATGAATGCTAGGGATAGAATTTCTCTTTACCTTTGAAAAAAAAATGTCCTTATATTAAGATAAATTGTATTTTTTCTATTTCTTTTATATTAAGATAAATTGTGTTGTTAGTGTTCTGCTTCAGGTTTTCATTCTCTATCCTGAAACAATATAATTGAGAATGATATATAACCTAATGTAAAATAATATAATATGATATTATATATAATATCTCAGTGATAATACATTTTATTTGCCCCAAGTTTTCTATACTGGAATTTTTTTTATTATGTCTTTTTTTTTTTTTTACTTATTATTTGTCTTTACAGATGGACAAGAATTTTGAGGTACATACTTTTTTGTAGTGTGTATTCTTTCTCCAGGGCTGAAAAAAAAATTATGCTTCTCATGAGTCTATCTTAAAATTACCTTTAATGGAGTCTTAGCGTGTGTTTTATTAGATTTCAAGACAATTATATTCATTTTAAAATCTTGAAGTTTTAATTTTTACCTATTTGGATCATCTATTATCTGTTTATTTATTATTTAGTGGTATTGGGGATCCAATCCAGGAATGCTTTACCACTGAGCTACATCCCCAGTCATTTTTTTGTTTTTTTATTTTTTATTTTGAAACAGGGTATGGCTAAGTTGTCCAGACTGGCCTTAAATTTGATTCCTCCTGCCTCAGAACTCCAGAGTCACTGGGATTAGGGGCATCTGCCACCATACTGACAAAACCTTGAAGTTTTAAGTAGAGGTGAAGCACATCAGAAAAAATAAGGCATTCTTTTTTTTTTCAATTTCTTTTTTTTTTTTTGCATTTTTTATTATTAGTTGTTCGAAACATTACATAGTTCTTGACATATCATATTTCATACATTTGATTCAAGTGGGTTATGAACTCCCATTTTTACCCCGTATACAGATTGCAGAATCACATCGGTTACACATCCACGTTTTTACATATTGCCATACTAGTGTCTGTTGTATTCTGCTGCCTTTCCTATCCTCTACTATCCCCCCTCCCCTTCCCTCCCACCTTCTCTCTCTACCCCATCTACTGTAATTCATTTCTCTCCCTTGTTTTTTTTCCCTTTCTCCTCACTTCCTCTTATATGTAATAAGGCATTCTTACGGGAGAACCATAAAATTTTCTAACAAGCATTTGTGTCCTCCCTTTAGCAGCATTTGGCTCTAAAATAAATTTGAGGACTAAATTTCTATCTATATTTTGATTATCGGGGAAGAAAGAAAGGGAGGAATAAAGGAAAGAAATGAGGATGGGAACATTGAAAAGACACGGAGAGACAAAAACCAGACATTTCCCCTCCAAAATGAAAAGAGAAATAAAATGTGGCTGAGCTAGGGAGAGATACAACATAGAAAATGAGAGGCTGGAGAGAGAATTTAACAGCAAGTGTGCTCAGGTGGTACTTGCTTTTGATCATATATGTATCTGATAAATGTTTTTATTTGAGGCCTCCTATACTTGGAGAAGTTTTAGACTTCCTGGCCTCTTGTGAAGAATGGAATGATAATCCTTAGCCTCTCCCAGGTCTTCCAAACCATTACTTTCCATCTTTTGATTGACTTTCATGCGTGAGAAAATAATCCACATCCAGTGCCCTAGTTAAGTTACAGGATATTCCTAACTAAACTAGGAATTATTCTTCTTACTCTCTTTTACTAAAGTCAATTGTTGTTTTCTGCACTTCTTGCCATTTAACAAATGTAGGGAAACTTTTGCTAGGTGTTAGAAGTTTACTTTTCAACTTTATAACTGTCGTGTTATTTAATTTAAATTTAACATTGAAGTTATCTGATAGGCCAAGTGTGCTGGTACATGCCTATAATCCCAGCCACTCAGGAGGCTGAGGCTAGAGGATCACAAATTTGAGGCTAGACTGAGCGATTTAGGGAGACCCTATCTCAAAATAATAAATAAAAAGAAATGGGGATGTAGCTTAGTGGTATAGTGCCCTGTAATTCAAATACTCAGTACAAAAAATTAAGTTACCTGATTGGGTTTTTTTTTTTTTTTTTTTAAATAATATTCATGTGGATTACCTGGATATAGCACTTACTGATGTCATGATTCAGGTGATGTTTGTAGAAGAGTCTTTCCCATTGCCTTGTATAGAGTAGGTACTCAGTGGTTATTAGGTTTCTTCCTTAGTAGTAAAGTTGATAAAGAGTTATTTTTTTTTAAAGTCGGAAAATGACAATCTAGGCCTAACACCTACCACTTAACACACTTTTCTTCTATATTGAAGTATTCCTTTGGTGTCACTAGCAAGCATTTTATGTGTAAAACACTATTCCTTTTGCTCTCAAACTAAAACTCGTATCTTTGAAGCCTCATGGGACTCTCAGCAATAGAACACAATGTTTAGGGTAAATTATAAATATACTACTACAGTGTGAATATCCACGGTGGCCTGATGATTAATTTATCCAAGAAGCATTTATTGAAACTCGTGTTCAACTGTGCCTAATCTGACATACTGTGGCAACAAGTGCAGGCTAATTTCTTTTATTTTTATGGTGGTCAGTTATTTAGTTGAGCTGTCTTGACTCCCTTCCAAGGCTGTTGTAGTTACCATAGTCTGAAAGGATTTATTTGAAATAACAATCATGCCCCAAAAGGAGTAGGTCAGAGAGCCAGGTAAGGTTTCTCTCACAGGGAAGTCCTGAAGATCTCTGTCTTCATTTCCATCTTGAAGACTGTCATATTTACCTCTCCTAAAATGTTCTAAAAAAGAGTTCGTGATGGTGTTCAAGCCTGTAGTCCCAGCTACTTGGGACGTTGAGGTGGGAGGATCATTTGAGCCCTCATGAAACAGAGCCCCTTTGAAATTAAAAACTCTGAATAGTTTAGCTCCTGAACTTTCTCATGCTGAGAATGGAAACTAAAACCACCCACTGGCTCCTATAGACACCAAGGAAATTGAAACTAATGTGTTCTCTGGCTGGCACTGCCTGGCTAAATCTACATATATGTATCTCCTGGTTTTGTTTTTCCTTCCCCAGGACCTGCAGAGAAACAATCTAATTGTATCTCCCCAGTTTGATTAAACTGTATTAATTCATTTTTCCCTTTTTTTTACATAGTTCATTTATCTCTTATGCAGAGATCAAGGGAGGTGCCCTAACTTTGCTATCTATAATATGCAAGTTTGAGACTGAGACCAGCCTAGGCAACATAGTGGGATGCCATCTCAAAACAAAACAAAAAACAGAAAAGATTTTTCCAACATAGGCCAATGGGAAATTAAACCATGAGATTCCCAAGGCCTTTTTCCTGTGTAGGATTTGTAGTTTTTCTAACCAATGGAGGGGAGGATCTCTTAAACAACCCCAGAAAAACACAAAAAGCCCCTAAAAAATGCCACTTGGCTTTGTAACTTGTAGTGAGCTCTAATGAGCAAGTAAGCATGGTCTATGTCTACCACACTATTGACCTCTGCTCATCCTTAATCACTTGTGCAAAGAAAGTTTGGAGACTAACAGAAAAGCATTATAGAGCTTTTATTGATCTCTGTTCTGACTGTGAACTGGAGATAGAGACTTGTTAAGCTAAATGAGCTCAACTGAGACTCAGGCTGTCAACATTTATGCAGAACCTGCATATTTGCTCTGGGTCTGCAGGGGTTTTCTTCTGATGAGGCATAAACATTGTACATGGACAATTTTTTTTTTTTTTTTTTTTAATTTTTTATTGTGGGTTGTTCAAAACATTACAAATTTCTTGACATATCATATTCCACACTTTGATTCTAGTGGGTTATGAACTCCCACCTTCACCCCATACACATATTGCAGATTCACATCAGTTACACATCCATTGATTTACAAATTGCCATACTAGTGTCTGTTGTGCTCCGCTGCCTTTCCCATCATCCACCCTCCCCCCTCCCCACCTCTCCCCTCCCCTCCCCTCCTCTCTCTCTACCCCCTCCACTGTATAACCCTGAGGGTCTCCTTCCATTACCGTGCAATTTACCTTCTCTCTCCCTTTCCCTCCCACCTCTCATCCCTGTTAAATGTTAATCTTCTTCTCCTGTTCTTCGTCCCTACTCTGTTCTTAGTTACTTTCCTTATATCAAAGAAGACATTTGGCATTTGTTTTTTAGGGATTGGCTAGCTTCACTTAGCATAATCTGCTCTAATGCCATCCATTTCCCTGTAAATTCTATGATTTTGTCATTTTTTAATGCAGAGTAATACTCCATTGTGTATAAATGCCACATTTTTTTTATCCATTCGTCTATTGAAGGGCATCTAGGTTGGTTCCACAGTCTTGCTATTGTGAACTGTGCTGCTATGAACATCGATGTAGCAGTGTCCCTGTAGCATGCTCTTTTTAGGTCTTTAGGGAATAGACCAAGAAGGGGAATAGCTGGGTCAAATGGTGGCTCCATTCCCAGCTTTCCAAGAAATCTCCATACTGCTTTCCAAATTGGCTGCACCAATCTGCAGTCCCACCAGCAATGTACAAGTGTACCCTTTTCCCCACATCCTCGCCAGCACTTGTTGTTGTTTGACTTCCTAATGGCTGCCAATCTTACTGGAGTGAGATGGTATCTTAGGGTGGTTTTGATTTGCATTTCTCTGACAGCTAGAGATGTTGAGCATTTTTTCATGTACTTGTTGATTGACTGTATGTCCTCCTCTGTGAAGTGTCTGTTCAGGTCCTTGGCCCATTTGTTGATTGGGTTGTTTGTTCTCTTATTGTCTAATTTTTTGAGTTCTTTGTATACTCTGGATATTAGGGCTCTATCTGAAGTGTGAGGAGTAAAGATTTGTTCCCAGGATGTAGGCTCCCTATTTACCTCTCTTATTGTTTCTTTTGCTGAGAAAAAACTTCTTAGTTTGAGTAAGTCCCATTTGTTGATTCTAGTTATTAACTTTTGTGCTATGGGTGTCCTATTGAGGAATTTGGAGCCCGACCCCACCGACTGTAGATCGTAGCCAACTTTTTCTTCTATCAGACGGC